GGTTGCTAAGATGATGGGAGCTATGCTACCAGCATTTCAAGTAACAGCAGCGTCACTGTTGGTGGGCAGATTTCCACAGAACTTCCAAACTAAGAACAGACAAGGAATAGGGACAAGGGAGTCCATGTCTGAAAACCCAGCCACTGAAAAGCGCTTGAATGGCAGCAGAACACTGCCTGAGACAGGGGAACTTTTAAAGTAAGGCAGACTAGGAAGAAAGGCCTGGTGATTTCCAAAAATTATTTCCAAAAGTTCAACAGTGAAAACTGTATGGATCACAATAGAAAAGTGTCTAGTGTGGTGCTGAAGGCTGACCCCCTAGATTGGAAGGAACTGAAAATACACAGTGGCCGCAACAGTAACTGGAGCCTGTCAATGACCCTTAAATGGCACATGACTGGCCAACATTTTAATGTCTTCTTTTTTTATTATTATTAAAAGATCAGTTTGTTGGGGGATCTTACAGCTCTTATAACAATCCATACATCAATTCTATCAAGCACATTTGTACATATGTTGCCATCATTATTTTCTAGACATTTACTTTCTATTAAGCCCTGGGTATCAGCTCCTCTTTTTTCCCTCCCCACCCACCCCACCCCCGTCTGGCCAGCATTTTACTCTTCTGTGCATAGAGTCGCCATGGGTTAGCCCCAACCCTACAGCAACTAACAACACAGGAGCAACTGGATGGTGCCACGGTTGAGGGGAGGCTGCCCTGGGAGAAGGGAAGGAATGTCATAGGAGAACCGAGCCACGGTGGTTAGGACCAGCTCCTACACACTGCAAAGCCCTGTCGGCCCATAAAGATCTTTCTAGAGTAAAATATACTGGGCATGGCTAAGCTTAATAGGTTTTGAGCACTTAGTAAAATAAACCATGCAGACTGGTGTTGTGGCTCTTTTCATATAATGCCATCAAAGAATATTATTATATTATCATACAGTTCCATCAATGAAATTACCTCACATTTAAGAGGTAGCTCCCCGGTTTAGGCAAATAAGTCATCTTACTCAAGCTTTATATTGACACATCTGTGAATAAATGTTTTAAGGGCTCTGAAATATGACTGCTCTGAAATGTCTCACTTGAGAACGCTAAAGCTTCCACTTCTATGTGTTTATGTTCTAAACCCACTTTACAATGAATTCCGTGATGGCCTCCCCTCCCGTGTTAGCATGGTCTCCAAAGGCATGCCAAACATTGTACTTGCAACACCAAAACATTGCAGCAATAGTGCAAGCTTCTCTCAGCAGAAACCAATGCTGAAAAGAAATCACCACCTTAGCAAGAAAATAGAGTGTGTGTGTGTGTGTGTGTGTGTGTGAGAGAGAGAGAGTCAGCATCTACCAAATCTGTCCTCCAACTTAAGTATAGAAAGCCCTCAAACGTCAACGTTGTTAAATACAAAAAGTTCTTTATGTATCAATTATATTTTTAAGGGCCATTTCCCCTTGGTAACAATTATACACACAGTAGTTAGGATCTCAGGCATCCCACAAACACCTTTTTAACTACTAGTCTACCTAAAACAGAGCAGCGCTAATACTAAAGAATCAATATTTAAGTGAAAGTTCTAAGGGGGAAAATACATTCAGAGTTCCCTAAAGCTCCCTTTCTGGGAAAAGTAGGGACTCTCCTTGTTAAAAGCAGGTCTTCCAGGAATGGAGGCCATAGTATGAATTTTGGGGAGCAAGGTCTCTGTGTTAAAGCTCAAGGCTGTGATTCCTAACAAAGGGATATAACGACCCTCCTTGGCTAGACTGCAAGTAAAAGCAGGGAAGGGGAAAAAAAAAAAAAAAACAGAGAAAGAGCCCCAGGATTAAGAGGGAAAGTAGAGGTTGGGGGAGAAGAGAAAAGACAGTTTCCCACCACCTCCCCTCATCTCCTTTCTCAGCATCCTCTGCTTCTTTCTTCTCATCCCTTTTGGAAGGTTAGGTGGGGAAGGATTGAGGTAAGACATACTGAAGGATCTGGACAATACAAGGGAAAGAAAAGAAGGAATGATCAGTAATAACCGATGGAACAGAAGCCATCTTCTAGTTGGAGATTAACAACAAAAATGCAGCTAGTTGCTGTTGAATTGACTCCAATTCATGGGGACCTCCTCTGTTTCAGAGCAGACCTGTGCTCATGGCTTTTTCAATGGTTGTGAACTTTTGAAAGTAGATCACTTGTCCTTGTTCTCAAAATGCCTCTGGGTAGATTTGAGGCACCAACTCTTGGGGGAATTGGCCAGCCAACAAGGGAATCTTATTTAAAGATTAGGGGTAAGTGGCTCACATGCCATGTGTGTGCTCATAAATAAGAGTCTTATCTGTGTGATTTGTGTATAGGTCCCGAATAAAGAAAAACTAAGGCAACGATTCCCAAAGTGGAAATACAATTAGTAAATTCAATTCATGAACATCCTTTATTGTGCTCCCATCTTTTAGCAGCATGTTAGCTCCCATTTCAAATTCCATTGCAAACATCCAGATCCACAACTATGCTCTATCCCCACCCAGATGAAAGAAGAAAATCAGAGACTGGTGGAAACTGTCGATCCAGTGGGCTGACAGACCATGTGATAATGGACCCCTCCTTTATCCTGAGACCAAAAGAACTATATGGTGCCCAGCTACCTCTAGCAACTGCAATGAAAGGGATCACATGAGACAGTCCTGGATAGAGTGGGAGAACATGTGGAACAGAACTCAAAATCACAAAGAAGACCAGGCTCACTGCTCAGCTAGAGCACAGTGGATCCCTGAGACTCTGGCCTATAGTGATCCTTCACATCTGAAAATGAACACACCCCCGTGGCTCAGTTTTGGGGCAAACCATTTAGACAGGTCTATAAAGGGAATGATAATACTAGGGAAATATGCCCATCTTAGAATAAGCAACCATTTGAGATCAAAAGGGCAGCATTTATTTAAGGAGGAAGGTCAGAAGGGTTAGGGAAAGAGAAAGAAAATAAACAGGGCACACAGGGAGGAAGAGGAATCCGTGAAGTTATACTGTGAGGATTGCAGTCAATGGCATGATACAAAATTAGTGGGAATCACTTCATGTAAAACTGACTTGCTCTATAAACTTCACCCAAATCACAATAAAAAGTTTCTGCTTTGTTTTGCTTAAATCCGGTTTCAATTGCCAGTTTCATGCAAGGCAGTCTACATCAACAACAAATTTTCTTCAAACAGAACAAATTTACTAATTAGTCCTTTGTTACAAATTCAGTAATCTGCCTTTTGTATCACGTAAGCTAAAATCTACATGACCTAAAAGACTTATGCCTTTTTCCAGTGTTAAGTTATTAAGGCCGTTGCTTTTGCAAACAATCAATTTGACACACATTGGAATTCAAAAAATGCAAACAAGAATATTAATTAAACAATGTCTGGGATAGCACCCGTTCACACAGTTAATGGGATTTAACCTCACATTCTTTAGCTACTACATAATTATAAACTTTTCGCATGTGGCTATTTTGTAGAGGGACATAGCTGGTCCTGGAGGGACGTGAGAGAAAGGAGTGAGCGGTGAGGAGCGCATCTCCGAGACGTGGACGCAAATGCTGGTTGCACCCTAACCGACAGAACACACTCGTTCAGAACACCAGTTGATGACAAACCCCACTGGGAAGGGTGGCAATGTGGGGCGGTAAACTCTGTCCTAGTCTGAGTCTAACTACATTTTTCCCTCCATCTCATTGGGACATTTAACTTTGTTTTTAATCTGCTTCATTATTCACAAAAGAAAGAAACTGTCCTACTGAAAAGCCCACTCACATTTCAGAAGCGATGGGACCATGATGTCTTTAGTATCTATCTGTTTCTCTTCACTGTGCAAGCTTGTGCAACTTGCACCCCAGGGAACCTCAATGCAAGCTGGAATGGAGGGGGTGTCCTACAGGTCACGTATCAAGTCCAACAGGTCACGTATCAAGTCCAACTCCTTTGCAAGGCTCTGAGACAGACTATTTCCAACACTGGTCTCTCAAGAGCAAGCTAGGCTACAAGGGTAAAGGTTTTGTAAAGATAGGGATAATAGTACTCAGAATCTTCTTCCTCCTTGGCAGGGAAAAGTTCTAGAGACCACAACCAGAGACCACATGGCTAGAAAAAAGGACAGTAAGAACGTGTTGAGTAAGAACGTGATCCGATATGTCTTAAGACACCTTCTTAGTCTCTCCACCTATGGTACTGATCCAAGTAAAGGGACCTCACTGCTTTACACTGGATAACGTCTCCTTTACATAAACCAGGAGCCCTTTTGCAATCGATTTTTAGGATCCTACATTCCATATAGCTTCTGAAAGCCTGGGAGCGTTTTCAGGGACTGGTGACCATATTCCTTACTTTGTATAAATTTATATCTATTTTCCATTTATATAAATTAGGAGTCCCTAGCTGGTATAATGGGTTACAAGTTGGGCTGCTAACTGCAAGGCCAGCAGTTTGAAACCACCAGCCACTCCTTGGGAGAAAGATGAGGCTTTCTACTCCGACGAAGAGTTACAGTCTCAGAAATAAATCCAGAGAGGCCGTTTTACCCTGTCCTATAGGATTTCGAGGAGTGAGAATCGATTTGATGGTAGTGAGTATGAGTACGAGGCGGTGATAACATTTGATTGCTAAACAAAACGTCGAGGGTTTGAATCTACCCAGTGGCACATTAGAAGAAAGGTCTGCTGATCCCACTTTGGAAAATCAGTGATTGAAAATTCTGTAGAACACAATTCTACTCTGGCACACAGAGGTGTCCCTGAGTGACAGGAATAATAGTTAAGCCCTTTGTCACTAACCAAAAGGTTGGCATTTCAAATCTACCCAGAGACGCTGCAGAAAAGCAAGCAATCCATTTAGTAACCAAAATTCAACCAAACAGTTTCTTACATAAATTAGAAAGTTCATCTCTGAATATTAGAATGTGTCCAAAACTAAAAGACACGCCCTAAGAAACACAAAACCGGCTCTGTCATTGATGAGTCTTCAAAATATTGTTTACATTACCTCTGTATTAGCGACTTCCATTGGTCTTTTCTTGCTTTCGCCTATGTCCAAGTAACTGCAGGGAGGGGAAACAACAAGGGTTGTTGGTATAGCTTTTTTTGTTGGCTATAGAAATATCTTTTCTGAAATTAGTAAAATACCAAATAATTAAAAAAAATTATGCACAGCATAGAAAATATTTTAGTCTAGAGCAAAAATCTGTGGCTACTAATTAAAAGCAAGTATAGCAGTGAGAATGGCTTTCACTATCCGAGTCCAGAGCTGACACACGTCTATCCTAAATGACAAGGACATTTGTCTTAGAAATACTTCTGTGGGAGGAACATTCTCCCCACCCCCAACCCCCATAGTAGTTGGCTATGCCTGATAAGTACTAGTTTTCTGATTTTTATCCAAAGTTGACATAAAGAGGGGCCTGCACGTCGAACTGCTTAGCAGCCCCATAAAGCACAGATTATGAGTCAAATAAAATGACGAATGTGTATCCAAATAATAACTGGAAAGGCTGGGAAATCTTTTACTCCTATGAGGTCGCTTTAGCGATGCAGAAAAATCTTCGGTCGTGGGGGTAGTTTAGGCATTGGTTCGGATAAGAAACAGATGGGTAGACTAGTTAACCTCTGGAGATGCCTTAGTATTCTCTTAGTGTTTGTCACAGATATTAACGAGTGATCATTCTTTAGCTGTGACAGAAACGCAACCTGAGAACGTCATGTCCTGCCTTTGTCAGCGTTAAACTGGAAGTTTACCATCTGCTCCCTCCCACCGCGCTTCATATCCGGAAGGTGTGATACATTCCACTTAATATAAGGAATTTAAATCTAGAAATGAATTTTAACGTAATTTTAGCATATAGATCGTGTATGTATAATCCTTTGCCTTGACTACTGCACTGCTGAGTTTACTTTTTGAAGTTTAGTTTATAATTAATTTTTGCTTTTGGCAGTGAAACATGGATTTGTTGTTATCTACATTTTGTCTGTGTGTGATAGAATGTTCAACTGATACCTTGGCCAATGATTGATCTCTCCCACACAAACAGTATGTACAGGAGGCAGGGCAATCGTCCCCTGATTAGCCACAAAATGGCTTTTTTGAGAATCTGCAGGGTCTGATGGCTTACCTAACAACAAAACATCCTAATCGCCGTGTGAAGGACGGTGACCTCAGACCCACTAGCTTAATGGAGTCAAGTCAACTTCCAAACAACCACTGGGGAAGTTTGTGGGTAAATAACAACCTCTAAAATTCTGTGCTATCAAATAAAGTTTCCCAGAGTTCACTGGTAGCTTTAAACATATTAGTAAAATCTGGGTCAAAAGAATTCAAGAAGGAGGTTGCTTGTTTTCACTTGAAAAATATTTTCCCACTTCTGTTATCTTCCCCCACCATCACTCAGGGTCTAAATAAAAAGCACACCAATAGCCCTCAATACCATGTGACCATCTGTTGTTCCCCCAGTTACTTCATTATATAAACTTACCAAGTGCTAAGCTTCAAGTATCAGTCAGCCTTTAAATCCCCTTGGCTTCTATCTTTATAACCATAGTTACTACGAGTTTAACACAAATAGAATAAACTATTCATCTGTCAGCATAGAAAGCTAACAACCATGGACAATGTTAATAACAAACCCGGTTTTGTTGTGAATCAGAAGCAAAAATAACAGCGCAAATCTCTTAGACATATAAAGAGTGTGTTTCCATGTGCACTTGAAAGCTAACTTTGAAATGCATTTTCTATTTGGTTTGGAACTTTATCTGTCTTTATCGTTTGAGATGGCAATGCCAAATAAACAGAGGAGAATGCAAATTACTCTACTAATGTGCTTTTACAATGTCCAGTTGTCAATGGATTCTGAACCCGATTCCCATTGCCATGAAAATGGTTTTATATGGAAACCAGTCAATAAAAAAAAAGCATAGTGTGTGGTGGAGGGGGCTGGCCATAAAGATGACTTACATATAGGTAACTCTCTGGGGTTTACTAAACACACCCACATCCATAGCACTGACTTCACACAACAAGCTTGTGAGACAGGAACACCTGCTTCTTTTATGTTTTAGGAAACGGATCAGCTGAGTCACGTGACTTGCCGAACGACACAGAACCCGTCAACAGCTCAGTCTCCAGGCTTCAGACTTACAGTTGTAAGTTTCTGTAAAGCATACGTGTTTGAGTCCGTCCTTTCTAAGTTAGACAGGGTACACTTATGAAAGGTGGGAGGGGGGTCTTCAAGGAATGGGGGAAACAAGCAAATATATTCCCTTGCCTACCATAAAAAACGCCTGGTATAAGAAAAGGCAGGGTGTCTAGAACTCAACTTTTAAAAATGTGAAAAAGGAAGGATGATTTTGCACAACTTTAGTGATTGTTTAAAAATGATTTTATAATGTTAAAAATAAAAGTTATAAGCACACGGTTTATGGTAAGGTTATACTTGGAGCTCCATGCTAAATAGAACTAAATCTTATATTTTAAAAAACGATGGGATGCAGAGTTAACCTAAGTCCCAAGAGAAATGACACATGCCCCCCCACAAAAACGTGCACACGAATGGTATTCATTACTCACTCAAAATTCACTAACTGGCTGCCATCAGTCAATGCTGACTCATAGCGACCCCCTGTGGGTTTCCAAGACTGAAACTGTCTGTTTACAGAAGTAGAGTCAAGGCCTCCCCAGAGCTGCTGGTGGTTTCAAACGGCCGACCATGAGGATCACAGCCCACATAACCACTACACCACCAGGGCTCCTCATGACTCACAGTACCCAAAAAGTGAAACAACACATGTATCTACCAAGAGATGAATGCATTTTTTAAAATTGACATATCCAACCATGGAACTTTATTTGACAATAAAAAGGAGGACTAATACATACTTCCATGTGGATGAACCTTGAAAACATTGAGCCAAGTGAAGGCAGTAAAAACACGCACATATATTGTATGATTCCATTTATGTGAAATGCCCAAAACAGGCAAGTGTAGAGAGATAAAAATAGATCAGTGGTTGCATAGAACTGAGGGTGAAAGAAAATAGAACTATAACTGGAGATGGGTATAGAATTCTTCTGGGGGTGCTGGAAAAGTTCAAACATTAGATTGGGGTGACAGTTGTACAGTTCTGTGAATATATTAAAATAGGTGGATCTTATGGGGTGTGAGATAGATCTTAATCAAATTATTTAAAAGCATAGAATATAAAGGTCCACCTGTCTTTTAATGCCCACCGCCATCAGAAATGATCTCTCTCAACTCCCAACTCTCAAATAACTATTTTTCTAATTGCATTGATCTCTAATGTGCCTTGAGGGTCCAACAGGTACTTGGAGAAAGGCATGTACAGAAATACAGTAAGCACAATCAATTTCCCAAGCGCTATACTAAGTGCATAAACACTCAGGCCAGAAAGAACGCTCAGAAAAGTGGGGGCGTGGTCAGTGCCACTTGGAATTAAAGGTGAAAGTATTTAAACCGCGGAGAAAGAAAAAAAACGTTGAGAAATTCTGTCCTCTCGCGATAAGATATTATCCAGTACTCTGCGTTAAAGGGTGACTTTTAATGGAGCTAAAACTTTTTTCTTCTGTCCTAATAACCCAATTCTCCCAGGAAGAGTGATTTTAAAAGAAATCTGTGCTTAAAGTAAAATAATTAGTATCGAAGTAAAGGGGAAAGTGGAAAAATCAATACAAGACAAAGCACAAAATTCTGAAGTATCAGATCTTACTTTTTTTTAAGAATGTCAGTTGTTTGCACATATTTTAACGTCTGTCCCTACTACTAAGCAGGTGAAATTATTTTCCAATCACCTTTTAGCCTTTACCCCCAACTGGAGCTTTGAGAGGCATCAAAAAAGCACCTCACACACACGCCACCCCCGGGCTTCCAGGGAGAGGGGACAGAGGTGGACGTCATTCATTTCTTCACCTCATCAAGCACCTGCACGCACCCCGACAGGTGGGCGGCGGGGGCAGAGAGACTCACTTGAGTTTCTTGAAGGCTTCCTGGCCCCCGGCCACGTAGTTGCCCCCACTCTGAATCTGGTCAAGCTTCCGGATGCGGTGGCCGGACCGCGGGGTGTAGATGTTCCTGACGGCCCCGAAGGGCGCCTGGACGCCTCCCGTCACCTCCTTCAGGAAGATGTCGAAGCTGGCCACCTTCTTCTCGTGGATGACCACGCGGCGCCCCGCGAAGTAGGGGTCCCCGTTGCGGTACACCAGCACGCTCTTCACCACCGGCTGAGACAGGTGCGCCGACCTGGCGCCCGGGCCGCTCATGGTCCCGCTCGCTCGGGGCGCAGGCGCCGCGGCTGTCCCCCAGCCTCGCGCACGGGCCTCCCGGGTACCGACTGCGGGCGAGAGACGAGTCCGCGTGAGAGCCAGGCGGCCGCCGCGCCC